TTTTAGGGTCATTACAAGGGTTGCAAGCGAAAAACACCTATATGGTATGCATATAGAGTGTATAACTTCAAGTACATTCTAAAAAGTCGCTAACATTTAATTTTGGAGTAAATAATGACCTGAATGCTGAAAAACCTAAAGTGCCCCTTTATAACTGAATAAAAAAATTGATAAAAAAACTAATTAAATATGAAATGGCTAAACAATCTCTTCTCTTTTCTTTTTTTGAGTTTCTTCTTCATCATTGTTGCCAGTAATGGAACAGTGACAACGACTTGATATGTCCAATGTTGGTTCAATTTGTATATAGATAAGGACATTTTTAGATTTGCATATTTTAACACCGACTTCAAGCCATACTTTGCCCATTTTTCAAACTTAGTGGACAAATATATACCATATATGTCATTCTTTGCTCTTTTTTTCAAATTTAACGGACTTATATATACAACATAAAATATATGTGTTATTTGGGCAAAATGTAAACATTAGTGGTGTTTTTTCCACTTTACCCTTTATTTAACAAGGAATTCAAGTGGAGTTGCAACAAAAAATAAAAATAAAGTGTTAAGTATCGGGCTCTTACTTCCCAAAGGGAGGTCGGAGTTTAAGTCTCGGTCGAGGCATGTGCGTGTGAGTACCAATTAGTTAAAAAATAAAAATAATAATAAAATAAAATTTGAAGTGTTAAGTATCATTTCAAATTGGACCACAATAGGTGGAATCGGCCATGGGCCAAGAAAATCCAAAAGGACAGACTAACAAATAAAGACTACAAGCCAACCAACAGCCCTAAGCAGAAAGCCCAATACAAAAAGACCAAAAATAGTAAAGAGAGGTCCAACAAGCCCAATAAGCAACAGCCGATCTAAGCCAACTTAAACCAAACTGAGTCTCTCCGTGAGTCAACACCTCACTACCATTGGGAGAGGCAATCCAATAAATGTCCGTTGGTGTTCTGATGAAGGACGACCGCAAGTCCCAGATATGACGGGTTTTTTTTTTTGGCTGGCACCGGAACTCACCTGAGCAGGGCCCCTTCGGGATCCACCCCAGGATACAAACCTGGAATGTTGTCAACAGCCCTATACCTCAGCAACAATTTCAATCAAAGGTTATAATGGCGATGGACGGATTCGAACCTGGGACCTGAGGTAGTCCAAGTCGTGATCTTACCAACTCGGTCAAGCCCCCGGGGGTTAGATACGACGAGTTTGCTAAGCAGACAAGATATTTTTGAAAGACATAGATAGTTGAGTAAGAAATGGCAAATGAATAAAGTACATCTCATAACTACATATATATATATATATATCTCTAAAACTATCCATTGGTAATTATCCGTACCCATTTAACCTCCTATCCAAGTAATTCATGTGACCCAATTGGTTGGTCCATTACTACTATCCATATCCAATTCCTTTAAAAAATAATAAAATATATAAAAATAAAAATAAAACAATTAAATTCCTAAACAAATACACATCACCACATACCATTTAAATTAAACAAATAAATCTAATACACATAATTTTAGCACACAATTTAATTTAAACAAATAATTCAATTAATACATGAATAATTAAATCAATTAAACAAGTAAACAATTAGCCAAGAAATCAAATAAAAAAGTGAAATGCAATTAAATACCAAGATTATCCTTTTGAAATTAGGGGTATTATAGTCTTGCCCCCTAACAAAAGAAATTATGTCCTCGGAATTCGCTTTTACCTTCTTCCATTATTCCTGAAAATATTAAGCGAATGACATCCTTCTGTTCTCAAATAGATTAACCCGAAATTTAAAAGATTGTATAATAAAGTGAATAATGATTTCGAATTCAAAAGAATGATAATTTCAATGAATCGTGATGAATTCCTCAGACTCCTATTGATTACTTATTAAAATTATGGATAAATTGCAGCGACCCCCTTAGGTTTGCCTAAACGAGAGGTAGATACAACTTAGGCCATTTTTTAACAATGACAACCTCCAGATTTGCAAACTTGAACAGTGACACCCCATTTAATAAAAAATAAGCCAAACACCGCCTTCATTGACATGAAATGTCTAATATACCTTAAGATATATTTTAATTCTCTCATAAAATGACCAAACTACCCTCTCCTTATCTTTCTCTTTTTAATCCTATTTTTGCCAAACACAGATTCTCGTATCTCTTTCAACCCTCTTATCTCGGTGGTTGTGGCAAAAGTTATGAGTGAAGATGCGGTGGTCGGATGGTGGCGGCAAAGGTCGTAGGTGAAGATACGATATTTGGGTGGTGATGGCGATTGGCGAAGGTCGTGGATATATGAAATGGGTTCGCCGAAGTTGGGTTGTGGGTGAAATGGGTTAGCCCAAGTCAATTTTTGGTGGGATGGTGGAGGTGGGGTTGGATATGGTGGTGGTGGGGTTTTCCATCCATATCTTATTAGTCTATTCCTTGGTCATTAACATTTATGCAACTGTATTATGTCAAAATTAAATTGTATTCAAATGTTTAAGGCTTTGTTGTAGCAATTGATTGAGTTTCTGGAAATGGAAAAAGGGTTTCAAAAGGAGCCCACTTGCATCTTTGTTTTACAAATAAAAATGGGGTATTAAAATGATTATTTTGTTCAATAAAATACTAAAATGGAACACAATAAATCCCAATACGCTCCCAAAACTTTCATCAACCTATATGTGTGTACCTAAATATCTATATTGGGCAAAAAGGTCCAAAATAACAAAAAGGACTGACTTTGTATTCACTTTTAATTAGCTGGTAACTCCTTTTTGCCACAAATATGATGCTCTGATCATATTCAATTTCTAAATTTGATGCCACACGTAACCTTAACATATAAAGCGAAAAAAAGAAAAGAAAAAAACATGTAAAGTTCATGTCTTTCTCAATTGGATTTTTCGTACGAGACTACTTCAAGAAAAAATCTAGCTACCCAACAAAACAAGCAGAATATAATACTTAAAGTAATTTGAATGCAATTGCCTTCTTCATTTATGTTGAAATCAACCAAGAAAATATAATTTGGGGGTGGTTGCGCTCCTGGCGGTGGTGGTGGTGTAGTTTGGGTATGATAGTTGTGAAGTGATCCAAACACAGAGTTGAGGGTCATTTTGGTCAATTCATAGGAAATTATAAAGTTAATTTAATCAACTTTGAAGTCAAAGGGTAAACATGTATTTTTATCACGTTTGGGGTGTCTTTGTTCGATTTATCAAACCTGGAGAGTATCACGGTCCAAAAATAACCTAAATTATATCTATCTGTCTTTTAAACAAATCTGAGGAAGTGTCACTATAATTTACCCTAAAATTATTAGGGAAAATTATATTTTGGTGACCAAAATTAAACATAATTGCTCTATAGTGACCTTAAAATCAAGAAAATGTGAATAGTGATCAATGTTGAAACTTAATTGATATTAAGTGACTATTTGAGAATAATTTGGTCAAAAACACTTAAAAGTTTAATAAACATTTTAAAAATAAATTTTAGATAACAAAATTGCCATCCAATATAAATAATAAGTATTGAATTCATCCTCCTCCTACTCTCTCTCTCTCTAATCCAACGTTTTCTTTTTGACCTTTTTAGTTTACAATTTACCAATTTAAAAAATTAAGATTTCTTTATCAACATTATCTTTTTTTCGCCCTTTATCTATTTTTCAAGGCTCTCAACTATCTCATATTTTCCTTTTTAGTTTATAATTTACCAATTTAAAAAATTAAAATTTCTTTATCAACATTATCTCTTTTCCACCATTTATTTATTTTTCAATGCTCTCCATCATGAACGCTCGTAACATTTACAATGACAAATCATACTTTTGAAACACCCTTTAACAGTTGGCAAAATTATGAAATTAATCAACAATAGTCATTATTTCTTGAACTATAACTAAGTAGTATTAAAAAATTCCTAAAAATTATAATCTTATATCTTAAGGAAGATCTCTCAGACAAATCAACTCATAAAGTATAATAATTATACCTTGAAAATAATGAATAAGAAGAAAATTTACAATTCACTCGTCATGTCTCTTAGAATCTTGAAGAAAACGATGTATAATATCCGTCATCAGTTCTCTCCCATCTTGATCTTCTCTTTAGAGACTCGCTCTAATAATATGTCGTCTTTTATAATATCCGTCATCAGTTCTCTCCCATCTTGATCTTCTCTTCAAAGACTACGCTCTAATAATTTGTTGTTTATTTAGGTTAATGTAAGGGTAAATTTGTTTACTTACGTAATAATAAATTATAAAAAGGTTATTTAGGTAATAAACCATCAAATGGTCACTTAATATCAATTAAGTTTCAACATTGGTCACTATTCACCTTTTCTTGATTTTAAAGTCACTACATAGCAATTATATTTAATTTTGATCACCAAAATATAATTTTCCCAGATTATTATTTGCCGTTTGAAAAAAGGAATTACAAGAAAAATAATTCATTGACAGAGACTTGCGTATTTTAAGGTTCCCTTTTTAATGAGGGCTTGATTAGGAATTTACGGTTTATTAGATGGACCCTTCTAATAAATACGAAAGCTCATTTAAATTTTCACACTTCGTTATGTCGACATGGTTTCCACAGTTTGTTACTAAGTCCAACAAATCATAGCAAACTCCGAATTTCTTTCACATTCAAAGTCCCTCTATGTACATAATTAATCACTTAATTTGGGTAAAAAATCTTCTTAAATGACTTCATTATTTCTCTTGCCAGTTTGTCGACACCTTTTTTTGTTTTGTTTTGTTTTGTTTTTCTTTTCCCTTTATCACATTATTATCACATATCTTAAGTTCATGTGCTCATTATTATACATGGTTTGACCAGTTTAGCCCTAAGGTGAAAAAACCAATAACCGGCCAATTTCTTCAAATTCTAAGTTTTAATTTATTTATTTAAAGATCAAATTTTTGTGCCATTATATATAACCGTGTCTTACTTACTATAGCCCTGTCTCCCTTAGATAACTAAGAGAAGCGATCGAAGAGATTCGATAGCGCTACCACCACGCACCTAGTCTTTCTTTGAAGCCCTAGTTTGGTTAGCTGTAAAAATCAATCAAAAAGGGCAATCTCGATCGTTCGTTAAACACATACCTGTTTCTACCCATCTGTAAGGGTTGGACCCAACTAGGAGTCAATCTCCCGTTTTTCTTTCAACACTCTCTCTCTCTCTCTCTCTCTCATTCATCAACATGAACAAGCTTGTTCCACTGTTTTTTGCCCTTCTTGTTTTTCTTCCTACCTTAGTTTTGAGTGAATGCACCTGTGATGAAGAAGAAGGAGACCGTAACAAGAGTGAAGCACTCAAATATAAGTTGGCCGCCATAGCTTCCATCCTGGTGGCCGGTGCAATCGGTATTTGTCTTCCGTTGCTCGGGAAGTCTATACCGGCTTTAAGTCCCGAGAAGGACATCTTCTTCCTAATCAAGAGCTTCGCGGCCGGAGTCATTTTGGCTACGGGTTTCATACACGTTCTGCCGGACGCCTTCGATAACTTGACGTCACCGTGCCTCACCGACCACCCGTGGGCCGATTTTCCGTTCACCGGATTCGTGGCGATGATGTCGGCGATCGGAACTCTCATGGTTGATGCCTTTGCCACTTCGTACTATAGGAGGGCTCACTTCAACAACAAGTCTCAGCCTTTGAATGGAGATGAGGAGAAGGTTGGGGAGCATGCAAGTCACGTGCATGTTCACACCCATGCCACTCATGGCCATTCTCATGGCTCCGCCTCTTTGGCCGATGATTCGGCCTCATCCGAACTCATTCGACATCGTGTCATATCACAGGTAAACTAATTCCCAATTTTTTAATTATTTAGTTTTTATTGTAAGATCAATTTTTATACTATAGTGTGTGTGATTATGTGTCATTGTGGTTAACGGAATTTGTTGGGATATTTGTTATCAAGTACATTGTGCCGTTGTTTATTTTGATTTGACTTTTTAGTATTGGATTTTTGATTGATATGAAATTTTGGTTGGTTGATGAAGGTTTTGGAATTGGGGATTGTGGTTCACTCTGTTATCATTGGAATTTCATTGGGTGCTTCTGAAAGTCCAAAAACAATAAAGCCTCTTGTAGCCGCCCTCACCTTCCATCAATTTTTTGAGGGCATGGGACTTGGTGGATGTATCTCTCAGGTACGTGGTACTCAATTTCATTACTATTTGCAAATACAAATGTTCTCTTCTTTAATAATTATGTGCAAGACTTTTTGAATTTCATCTTTTAAAAATGTAAGCATAAATAAACAAATTAAATGTAGTTTAAATCACATACTGTTAAATTTAATAATTGGTTCTTTGTTTGTACGTACTGTTAGAGACGCAAATTGTTAAAATAAATAAATAAATAAAAACCTTCCCTTTGCTCTTATTGTTTGTGCAGGCAAAATTCAAGGCGGGAGCTATAACAACAATGACTTTATTTTTCTCTCTGACAACCCCAGTTGGAATAGCGATTGGGATTGGAATTTCAAATGTTTACAAAGAGAATAGTCCAACTGCCTTGATTGTTGAAGGCATTTTTAACGCTGCGTCGGCTGGAATCTTGATATACATGTCGTTGGTAGATCTTCTTGCAGCTGATTTCATGAATACAAGGATGCAAAACAGTGGAAGGCTTCAATTGGGTGCTAATGTTTTTCTTCTTTTGGGAGCTGGATGTATGTCTCTCTTGGCCAAATGGGCTTAAACCTGAAACTATGGAATTTTAATTAAATAATTAAATTAGATTTTCTATATTATAATTTTGACTTAAAATGTTACTCCCTCTGGGGCAGGGGTGGATAACGGGGGATAGTAGTTGCGAATATTCCCACTTCATAAAACAAAAAATAAAAAATAAATTTTTTTTTTTTTTTATTATTTTTTTTCCAAGCCAGGCCAAGGCAGAGCAGAAAGTGGTATATAACAGGTCAAGTATTTTCCTGGAATTTTCTGAAGCCTTGTGCTCTCTTGGTCCTTTATGATGGAAGAAATTAAGCTTCCAAATATATCAGCAGGTTAAAAAGTTAGAAATGGACTGTAAGACCTCAAGCTAAAAAGAATATTCATTTCAGGTGGCTCCCGCGTAAAATTTATTATCACATGCCTTTTCCCAAGTGTTTTTAAAAATAGGTTTAGTATTAGCTCATCTTAATAATTTTAAAAATAAAATGATCACTGAGGCCTGCTGCTACTAACATATCTTCTCGTTTAAAACAGTGGTAGGATAGTCGACAAAATAATAGTATAAAAAATAAATAAATAAATAAAAAAAGAAAAAAGAAAAGAAAAGAAAAGCCATGTTTGTAAAAAAAGGAAGCAAACTCTACAAGGTCACAACAAAGAGGGCAAAAGGCCCAAGAGTTGGCCCAGAACCAAACAACAAAAGCCCAAAAGGCATTCAAGCCAGCGAAGCCCGACCGAAACCAAAGCGAAGCAAACGAGGGGAGGCAACCTCCACATCGCAGCAATGTTATGCGAATGCGATCATGAAAATTCAAGAAGAAAAATCTGCATCTGACAGTGTTGAAGGTCAAGCTTGAAAAACCGAGCTTTAAGATAAACGATCTATCTTCAAGATTTGTTATTAGGATTCCATATGGAAGTCACCCAATTAGGCTTTCCACACTTTTATGTAAGTCCAACTATTGATCATATATAGAAATTTTCACATTCAAAGGTCCCTTAAAAATATATATATATATATACACACACACACACATACATAATTAATGGCTTAATACGAATATGTATTCGTCGCAAGGGAGTAAAATCTAATATATGCATCTTTTCGAATAATTTTCCTACAAATATATGCATCTTATAGTCACTTTCAAAATGACATGAATTCGCTCAACTTTTAACATTTCATTCAAAGTTTTGTTTCGTAAATATTCTTTTCACTTTTTTCAAACTTGCTTTTTGTGAAAATTCTGAAGAGTTTGCTAGGGAAGCAGCATAAGTTCATAACAAAGCTATTCATATACTACTTGGAATATGGGAGGAAACCAAATAAAAATTAAAAGAAAGAAAAAGTTGTTTTTCAAAAATTGTTGAAACTCACTTTATGTTTCGATTATATTTGTAAGTAGGGGGATGATTTGCGATGTGAGCTCATCTTCCATTAACAATGTGAAGGATAAACTTGTGTTCTATTAATAATGTTAAGAATAAACTGATATGATTGTACGTATGTGCAGTTGAACATTCCATTTGACTTGCACAAACTCATTCTTGATTGGAGAAAAATGGTCTCCAAGGCACCTCCCACTGAAGGCTGTTCTTGGAGGGGTAAATGATGACATGGCATTTTTAGTAAAAAGAGTATTTATTTTATGAGCTTTATATACATACCTATGTATCTGTACAAGAATCAATCTCTTCTGTATACAAAATGAAATTTAAATTCCCTCCAAAACATAAAACTGATTTACCTCCAAAATTTTATTCTATATCCTCAAGTTATATTTCATTGTTTCCTTCTTAAATTTAGGTCTCTCTCCCTCTGAAATTGAAGTCTGTATGGCCAAAAACCAAGCTTCGTAAATTTGGGCAACCTCATCAAACAAGCAAAACATTGTCCTTTTCACGTTCCCGTGAGAAGCACCATACATTCCGGCAAGAAGAAGAAAATATACATACATTCCGATGAGAAGCATAATGCCACCACACATTCCTAGAAATAGTCCACCATACAATATTTGTAATTTTGTTTATTTTTCTGCATTTTTATAATTTTGGTATGCTAAATTTGCAGAGTTTATGATTTTATTTATCAGTTATAAGTGTTCATTTATGATTTTATTTATCAGTTATAAGTGTTCATTTATGATTTAGAAATATTTATAATTTTGTTAGTTTTTCTTCATTTTCATAATTTTGGTATGTTAAATTTGCAAAGTCAATGATTTTATTTATCTGTTCATTTCTGATAATTTTGAAATGTTAAATTTGGAGAATCTATGGTTTTATTTATCTTGTTATAAGTTTTTATAATAATTATTTTATAATATTGTTTATCTGTTATAATTGTTCATCATCGCGCCACATGGTGGTTTTATTTATCTGTTGTAGGAGTTCATAATAATTGTTTTATGTTAAATAGATTTGACATGTGATTTTTAGAGTATTATAGTTAATGGCTAATCTGTTGCAATAATTTATAATTCAATTTTACATTTGATTTTAGTAATTCAATTTGTGGTATATTAGTAATTTTGTTTGTGAAAGAACCCTTTAATTAATTATTATTCAATAAATTAAGACCTAACAAAATAGTGAGTGTTGTTTAAAAAATCAGTTAATTGAATTGAGAGATAATATGTTTTCCAGTGGAGATATTGTACATTTGTCGAGTGCAAAAACTTTGTTTATTTTCTTTCCTGCAGGCCTTATTTTATTTGGCTTGACAATAATTTTACTCATTCAGGTGTTGTTGCGTAAATGAAATATTGTGATACATGTTAACAAAGAATTCATATATATACGGTTATGTTGTAACACATATTAGTCAAACATTGTGATGTGTATTTAACACTTACCTTCAATTTCGTAAAAAAAAAAAGATGTGATGCATGTTAAAAAAAAAATTATATTTTATATTCAATTATATTGTTACACATATTAGTAAAACATTCTGATGGATATTTAATGATTTCATGCACTTCCCTTCAATTTCGTAAAAAAAAAGTTGTGGTGTTTGTTAAGAAACAATTCATATATTATATACAATTATGTTGTAACACATATTAATTAGTAAAACATTTTGATGGGTATTTAACACTTACCTTCAATTTCGTGAAAAAAAAAAAAAAAAAAAAAAAAAAAAAAAAAAAAAAGATGTGATGCATGTTAAGAAAGAATTCATATTTTATATACAATTATGTTGTAATACATATTAGTAAAACATTCTGATGGATATTTAACACTTACCTTCAACTTTGTAAAAAAAAATGTGATGCATGTTAAGAAATAATTCATATTTTATATAAAATTATATTGTAACACATATTAGTAAAACATTCTGATGGGTATTTAATGATTTCGTCCACTTCCCTTCAATTTCGTAAATAAAAAAAAGAAAAAAAAGTTTTGATGCATGTTAAGAAACAATTCATATATTATATACAATTATATTGTAACACATGTTAGTAAAACATTATGATTGGTATTTAACATTTACTTTCAACTTTGTAAAAAAAAGATGTGATGCATGTTAACAAAGAATCCGTATTTTATATATAATTATATTGTAACACATATTAGTAATACATTCTGATAGGTATTTAATGATTTCGTCCACTTCCCTTCAATTTCGTAAATAAAAGTTGTGATACTTATTAACAAAAAATTCATATATTATATACAATATATTATGTTGTAACACATATTAGTCAAACATTATAATAGGTATTGAATGATTTCGTCCACTTCCCTTCAACTTCGTAAATAAAAGTTGTGGTACATGTTAAAAAAGAAGTCTTATATTATATATAATTATCTTGTTACACATATTAGTCAAACATTGTAATGCATATTTAATGATTCCTTCTACGGTCTCTTCAACTTCCTTTGGTTTAAATTGGTCGTAATACATGTATTTATTCAATCAAGTGGAAGCTACATGGAGTGTTTTGAATTGGTTACTTCATGGAGGTTCCACTCCACTAATAGATGTATTTAACAACTCATTTTTTCAATTACGCTTGTCAATTCATTTTTTCTAAAACATGTATGTGGATGTGCACTTTAATTTAAGAATTAAATTAAGAGAAATGTTGTACAAAGAATTGAATGTGTTACTGTAAAAGATGTGTTCCATTAGTTGTTCTATCAAGTGTTTACTTGCATTGAACATCTTAAATAAAATGTGTGATGTATGTTAACATAAAATCATATATTATATACAAATATGTTAAAAATATGTTTCTATACCATATGAAATTTAATTTCGTTTGGTTTTCGTTTTAATGAAATAAGTTATCATATATGTTCCTTAAATCAAATTTATTACCATTAGAAACGTAATAGATATGACTATATGTATCAATATATTTATAGATACAAGAGAGAGGGAAAAAAAAAACTAATTATGTTAATAGAAATCAACAACGGTGACCAAATATTAACCAATATCTGAAATCATTTATTTCTCGATCAATTTGCAAAAAAGAGAAATTGTTTATCTATTTACATAAATATATTTTTCTATAAATATAGTTTTTCTTCTCTAGATTTTCTCCCTAATTATATATATTATCTATTTCATGATTTTTTTTATTTGAAAAAGAAAAAAAGAAGATGAATGAAGTCCCAAAATTGGAAACAGATGATGCAAGATCGGAGTTTCTGGCACCGACGATGTTTTCGGCGAGATCAAGTGAATTCCAGGAGAGGAGAAAGGTTGAGATCAAAATTGATCTTGGCCTTGGTGCCACGAAACTCACACACCACCGCATCGTAGGAGAGGAGGTTGTGCTCCTTTAAATTCACGATGAACTCCATCTCTACATCCGCCATGGTTGGACCTCTGTGTGTGAGAGGTTTGAGATCTCGTTTTTGGTCTTTAATTTTGAAAAGTGAAGTTTAGAAGAGCAACGGAGGAAGAGAGAGATGGGAGGCAGATGTATTGTATAATTTTTTTGTATTGTAGATTGTATGGTATAAGTATATTTGTATATGATAATTGTGCTTGTGGTAAAAATTAACGTAATTTGAACAAGTGGCTAGATCACAGCCATTGGATTCTCAATGGTCTCTCCGATGAGAGGTGCTATGGGGAGGATTTTTGCTCCGATTTGCTTATGAGTAACAGAGTAGATAGCCCTGAAATATAACCTTTAATGGTAGTTTCTGAGATACCAGAGAGTGTGATAAGTGAGCCTTTAGATCTAATTCAGAAAAATCTGGAGATTGCCCACACAATTAGGTTGCTTGGTAAAGCAAGTGAAGTTTGCTGGCCTGCTTTAATGAGAATAGAATGATAGCATGGACGAAACCACCTTTATTTATTTATTTATGTAGAAATAGACCTTAAATGAATAACAGTACAAGCTAGGGGGTTAAAAATATATAAAGACATACATGTATATATAATTATAATATATGTGTGTGTGCG